GATGGGAAACCAATTTCAAAGCCAAGAATTTATCATTAAAAATTTAGAAAACTAATCATGTTAACTAGCTAATTCCTTAAATAATCGACCCTAATGATCCTTGCTTAGCAATTCTAAGATTAATCCTAAGGAACAATATGTGTATCTAGTCAGAGTGCTGTAGAGAGTATATCAATAGTGTCACATCTTTAGTTCAAATGGTAGCACCACAGCACTACCAATAATAGTATTGTGGTGCTAAGTGTTGTGGTGCTAGATCTAGTTAAATTTTTTTATATAAATAGCATGGCCAAATTATTTGTGGTGTGTTAGAAAATGTATCACTTGTACTCAATCTTTGGCAATGTCTAGTAGTATGGATATACTATCATAATATAATTTTCAATAATGTAACTTTGCTTCAAGTTCCTATATGCTAAATTTAATTTGGATATTGTCCTTACATAAACTTAAAATCTAGCGTGGTTTATATCCCCAATGGAGGTATAGTGAAATTAATTAGGGAAATTATAAATAAATGCATTCATGTTTAGACATATGGTGAATAGAATTATAGGATGATTAATGAGATAGAATCACTGTATTGAATAGTATCTTTAATAGAAACTCCAACAAACTTGATAGATTCAAGGAGATGCATATGCTTTGATCCATAATACAAGATAAAGAGATTAATCTATTGAAACATATGTTCTTTACCATCATAGGTTCAGGATTTTTAATATGGAATTTTGTCTTTGTAATCTTTTGTGACCTACTTCTATTCACTAAATTAATTAATTATTATGTTAAGATAAATTTTGCAATCAATAGATGTGGTACAAAATTCAATATTTTTTAGGCTAGTCTATTTCCTCCTAGGAATAATACTCAACTAATTATCATATTACTTCACATGACATTTCCAATTCCATGGAAGTCCATTGGAAGCCCTAGTTTAGTACAATGTTGGATAGTGGCAATCAGTAACTTACATATCGCTTATACACCACCACAATAATTTAATTAATTTAAAGCTGAGTTATTAAAAAATTATTGTATGCTTTGATTGATTCTTAGTTAAAAAATATTATAATATTTTTGTTCTTATCTCAAAGTAGCATAATTCATGAATTATGATAAAATTACATTCATCTTAAAGATGAGTAGTTAAGCTAAAACATTAAAATGCTCCATTAAGAAAATATGCATTCTATGAGTGAATTCATTTCTGGTGATATGACTAGTATGGGTTACCCATGTGAAGAAGAAAACTGTAGCATAAGGTGGCACCTATCCATGATGAGGGCTTGTTTTGAAAATGTTGAATCGGACTTGTTAGAAATATTTCAAACTTAACATATTATAATATTGACAACTCACCATATTCATATTATAGCCCACCTAAATTCTTTATTTAGTATTATTGCTCATTTACATAAAATACTTTAAATGTTTCTCATTACTGCTTTTTTATACTCATGTTTCATTTTAATTTATACACAAAATTTATAATATAAACAGATAAGGTGAATTCCTGGAAAGGATTTCATTTCTAAAACAAAGATAATTGCTTACCCCTGAAAGGACTTCTATATGTGTGTTTGTATATTTGTAAGTACCAATTATCGATTTTTCTTTAAGTAATACCCCCTAGTATCTTTTTCTAAATTCCTCTTATTGCTCAGTTAGTTGAAGTCAATGAAGGTGGTGAATATTAGATCTTGACATGTATGTTATATTCCATTATGCTTCATCAAAACATCCAAACAAAGTGCTATTTATTGTTTGTATTTGTTCTTAAGCTCATCTTTATATTCAATAAACTTAACAAATTTATTAATCAATTTAACTCTAGAAACTTCAGAAGTTGACTCATTGTTGTCTTCATTTGATCTCATTAAAGCTTCCCTAAACTTGGAAATTTTATCTCATGAACAAAGAAGTGATTGAGTTTACTCTTTTATAGAAATCTTAGACTCAACCAAAAAAATACTCCAATTTTTTATTCTTAGAATGGAATTCAATCACTCTTCTTCTAGATTAAAGCTTTTAATTTTGTTTCTTTTATTCAAATTTCAATATATAAATCAATCTCCATGTTGACATCAACCTTCTTGGAGAATTTTTTGGCATATTTCTTAGATTTTCTCTCAGCACTCATGAAGTCACTTTATGGAATATATTTCTATTTCAATGATGCTAATTTTCATTCATCTTGCACACATATTCAAACTAGATTTAGAGTTTATAATTTTAGCGATGTAATTATTATGATTAGCAATAAGAGAAAAAGAGGTTTGGTAGTTAATACAAATCTATTCAACATTTACATGTGAAAGTCAGTTGATGATAATTTATTTAAGTGCATATGGAGGAACCCTAAGAAGAGTATAGGGAATTCTTATCCTAAATAAGGATAATGCTCAAATCAAGTACTACTTGATCCTTTCATCACAATCGTCCTGGCCGCTCTTGCAATTTCTGGGCAATTTTGGGCATCCTTCATGGCCATCATCCTCTTTGCTTTGTGGAGGATTCTCTATGATTTTTTTTATTTTCATTTTAATCATGATTATTCTGAGTACAGTTTTTTTTATCTTATAGTTTCATTTTTGCTTTCAATTTTTGGTTTGGTTTGATGGCAACTTTTTTACCATCGAACCCTTGGAATGCTTGTAATCCAGTAAATCCCTCAAAAAATGCAGTGATTAATGGTTATTCTAGAAATGCTAAGGCTAGATCTTTTAAATAAGTGGTTGGTGGTAACTCTTCTATTTCTTCCTCTAAATTATATCTAGTTCATATGTCCTTTATGGGGGTTTTGGCCTTAATGTTTGATGAATCTATGATTTCTAAACTTCCTATTCTATTTGAGTTTACTTTAGTAAGAAAATTTATGCTCTGTAGTCCCAAACTTAGACATCTTTCGCATTTTTTTATTAACTTGAAGTTGATGAAAAGTTTCTCCATTGGCCTCTTAGATCAAAGGCATATAGCCATGCAACTTTCTAATGATTTGGATTATAGTCGGCTATTCTCTCCTAGAGCTTATTACATTCAGGATTTCCAAATACATCTTTTGAAATGGATGCCTTCATTTGATGTGAGGGAAGAATTTCCAATAGTGCCAGTGTGGGTGTCTTTTCCAAACTTGAGATTACATTTTTTAATACATATATTTTATTTTCTATAGGGCCAGTTTATGGTAGACCTCTTCAAACTGACTAGGCCATAGCTTCTATTTCTAAGTCATTTGTTTATCGTATCTTGGTTTAAATGGATGTCTCCAAGAAACATCCCAAAGAAGTTTGGCTTGGGCCTGAGCTATGTGGTTATTTTGAAAAAGTTGAATTTGAAAGCTTCCATGTTTTTTATAATCATTGTAGAATTCATGGTCATAATCATATGGAATGTTTTATTTTGCATCTGAATCTTCATAGGCAAAAGGATTCAACTAAAGAAACTAAAGGGGATGGTGAATCATCTATACCACCCACTAAGAATTCTGCTAAATTGGATCACTTGACTTCTGAAAATAATGTGGAAAATAGTACTGCGGATGAAAGGGTTGTCCAGGTTGATGATGAGCCAAACCCAGTGACTTTAATTAAATAAGACAATGGATGTAATGTTCCAAACAAGCTTTATGAACAAATGGTTGTTATGGTTGCTAAGCATAACATCATCTTAACTTATTTGTGACTTCTATGCTCTACTAATAAGAACTCCATTGAATTTCATTTCGGTTTGAATACTAATGAATGTACTAATCTTGATATTACTAATTTGATATCAAACGAACATAAAATTGCTGAGCACAACTTGGAATAAGGAGAACTTGTCCAGGATGGAAATGAGGAATGTGCTACTACTTATGCCATTAAATCTGGAAAGGGTTGAAAGGAATCTAAAACTTTTTCTCCAAATAATACAATTATCAATGAACATGATAATGTTCAAGGTGGTTTGAAAGTTTACAATTAGTGAGGATAGTAGCTATAAGCAAGTCCAGTCTAATAGGAATAAGAAAAATAAAAATATTATTATACAGTCTCCTAGAATCACCTGAACTCAAACTTCCCAATCGCATTATAATGATTAAGTATATTATATGGAATGCTAGGGGTATTGGTTTCCCTTCTAATAGAATTAGAGTTTAAAAATTATGTCGTACTCTTCATGTTTCTTTGTTAATTTTAGTTGAGCCTTTTATTTCTTTGGTCAAGTTGGATACTATTGCTCACTTTTTAGGATTTAATCATGTTGTGGCCAATGCTTCTAACAAAATTTGGGTTCTTTGGAAGGACCCCATAGTTATTTATATTATTGGAGATTTTAATTAAGTGATTCATTGTAGTATTAATTTATGCATTTTAATTTTTGTGCTTCTTTTGTTTATATGGCATCTTCTCATACTATTAGAAAGACTTTGTGGGAGCAGCTTAATTACTTTCATAGTTTTGTTAATTTACCTTAGTTGGTTGGTGGTGACTTTAACACTATCTCTAACCCAATAGAAAGGCTTGGGGGTTCAAACCCTATTTATCAGTTTCTGGAAGACTTTAATAACATGATCTTGGATTTCAACCTTGTTCATATTGGTTATATTGGAAGCAACATTACATGGAATTGTGGTAATCTCTGGTAGTGGTTGGATCGTGTGCTTTTTAATAAAAATTGGATCAATACTTTCAATTCAACCCATGTTGAGCACCTAATTAGAACATTATCTAATCACTCTCCCATGCTTATTACCATTATGTTCAGAAATAATAATTTTGCTTCTAACTTCATATTTTAAAATATGTGGCTTCTTGAACCTTCTTTTCTCAGTATGGTTCAAGGTAATTAGCAAGCTCCTCTTCACCCTAATAAATCTATTTTTGGTATGAACAGATTATTGCTTAAGCCCAAAAGATTAAAGTATAAAATTAATTGGTGGAATCATAATGTTTTAAAAATTTTTTCACTAACATCTTGATTGCTGAGGACTAAGGGGCTGTTTGGTTGCCTGCATTAGGAGTGTAAAGTAAAACAAATACATGTATTTATTAAATTTTATTGTTTGGGTAATTTTGAGCGGAACAAATGGAAATCATCGGGTGCATTAACCGTGTATTTTGAGAGCAAAACTGCGTGAATTAGAAACCCGCTCATATTGAGCGGGTTATAAATTCATCGGAAGAAAAGCTTCGATCTCGTTCTCGTCGTGCTGTTCGGCTTCATTGCGCGATAGTCTTCTTCGACTCCTTCATTCTTGTTCGACTTCGCTCTGGCAAGCAACTCTGGAGAGAGTTCGCTCCGGCAAGTAGCTCCACTCCGTCGCCCTCAAGTCCGGCCTTCTCCGCTCCAACCTCTTTGTCAGCAACGCCCTCATCCCTCCAACTTCTTCTTCGGCTCCGCTCCAACGATCTTCTCCGGAATGCCACATCGTCGTCGATCACCCGAGCATTAGCCGAATCCATCTCGAGGTTCGCCCAAATTCTTCATCGCAGAAACTTTTCGTAACAGATCGCTCTTCAGGTTTGTTTCTTTGTAAGATGACCTCTTCTTATTTGATCTTTTTCTGCAAAGAACGAGCATCGTTTATTCTATACCTGATGCTTGCTTTTTATGCTGCAGTTCACGGGACTTGGGTTTCAGGTAAGAAGATCCAACCTAACATGCATGTTGAATTGATCGAAGGAGATACTATTAGACTTGGGGCTTCGACGAGGATTTACTGCCTCCATTGGATGCCATTGAGCCATGTCTTTGAGATGGAGAAGCCGATGTCACCATTGATGGAAGAGGCTTCAGATTTCATAAATAATGATGAAGCTCTTCTGGTTAGTTTTTTTTTTTTTTTTTAAAAAATTGTTTGAATCTTGACTTATTGGTTGTGTAGCCAGCAGGGTTTTTAAATAAATTTTATTTATTTATTTGGCATTAGGATGAGAGTTTCAATGAAGACTGGGTTAGCAATATAATACCTTCTGCGCCTCCTTTGAGGATTTCATCTCCTGGGAAGCTCTTTTCTCAGGATTTGGAAAAAAAAGGCGAGATCTTAATAGGAAAAGAGACGTTTGGACAGAGCTCATGCTTTTCTTCTATTGTTCTCTTAGCTGAAGGTAATGTAAAAGAATAGGAAGAAGAGTTCTCTGTTTTAGCACTATTAATTAAGAAAAATTTTGAGTAAGGTTAGAATGATTTTATTCTCGATGGATGTAATCATTGGATTATAAAACTCATCTTTTATCTAATTTGGTTCAGGACATTCTAAAATTTTTATCCCGTAATTAATATGTAATCATCAATTTGTGGGGTTTATAAGATTCTGCATTATTAGCTATAAGCAGGACATCAGTATTTCCTTAAGGTGTTATAAATGTGGTATTCTCCAACCTGTGGGGTTTATGCTTGGAGTAGCAGTTATAACACCTTTAGTTTTGTATTTTCTTCTGTTTTCTTTGATACATTTATATAAAACAAGAGCTAGCTCCAATGTTGAAAGGAAGTATTACTTCAATTATTCATCAAGATCCAATGTTGAAAGAAATTAGAGTATGGTTAGCTCATTTTGCATTACTAAACCAAAATCACATGTATTTATGGAATTTATGTTGCATCCATAAGATCAACTATTTTAGATATCAAAACTGTAATTGTTCTTCTGCGGAACAGATATAAATATATTAAGGTATTTGTTTTCCTCAATCCATACCAAGAAATATAAACAAAGGTTGAACTCATCATAAAAACTGATGTGCTGCTAACTTACCTTGAACTATAAGAGAAAATGAAAAGAAAAACTTAGAACAACTCAACATATAGGAGAACAAACACTAGAAAAAATATTTATCTGCCAAATGCTTTCATCCAAGCCATGAAGGAAAATTTATCGTATTTGTCATCTGCCACTCTTGTTGTAGCAAAAGTGGAACATTGTTGAATAATGATTGGAAAGATCAAGCCTTTACTGTTGGCATTCACTTGTTTCTGGGCTGCAAAATCTATGTTCTTCATGCTTGAGTACTTAATTGCATGGTGTTTGGTCCTTTTTTTGAGTTTCTGCTTAATTTTAGAGCCAGTTGTATCCACATGCTGGAGGGCTTCCATGCAAACTTGAAGGAATACTAGAATCTCCACTTGTTATTTGTATTTATCGTATTTGTCACCATTTATAACTGTTTTTATTAATACACTAATTATAATGACAAAAAAAATATTACAAATGCATTGCTTTTACTTTACTCTGTATATATCTAACCAAACAAGGGAAACAGTTCTCCTGTGTTTACTTTGCAGACAGCCAAACAACCTCAAAGTATTTGGAATGCACTACATTTACTTTACACTGCATTTACTTTACACTGCGTTTACTTCGCAGGCAACCAAACAGCCCCAAAGTGAATTCTTTGGAGTATTTTTGTCAACATAATCCTTCTGATATAAATTTGACTCTTCTCCAACATGCTAAAACTATCTTTTCAACTTACAAGCTCAAGAGGAAGCCTTTTGGAAATAAAAGGCAGCTTCCAAGCATCTTATTGAAGGGGATAGTAACACTAAATATTTTCATGCTCTGGTTAAAAGGAGTAGAGATAATAATTACATCCACATATTTGATCGTGGTGATGGATCTTTTACTGAGGATAAGGGGGAAATTGTTAATGCGGGGGTGGAATTCTTTAAAAGTCTTTTTAGTAAAAATTTCTCTCTATTCCCTATTAATAATCTTAATATTATTCTTAACCTTATTAACAATGAGGATAATATGGTTCTAACTAATCCACCTTTGGACAAAATTAAGGAAACTATTTTTTTTGCTTTTAACTTTGATGTTGTTTCTGGGCTAGATGGTTACAATACTAAGTTTTTTTCAAAATACTTGGGATATTATTAGCCATGATTTGTTTAATATTATTTTGGATTTCTTTGCGGGTAATAATATGCCAGAGTTTTTCTCTTCCACCTCTATTGTGCTTATTCCTAAAAATATTCTGCTCCGTAATTGGAATGATATTAGGCCTATTACTCTTTGTACCCTTTTTCGTAAATTGATTTCTAAAATCCTTTTTAACCACATTTTTCCTTTACTTCCTAGAATCATTGCTACTAATCAAACTGGGTATTTTAAGGGTAGATCTATTTCATATAACATTTTACTTCCTCAAGAGATCCTCCATGATTTGGATGTCAGGGTGTCGGGGGTAACATTATTTTTAAATTGGACATAGCCAAAGTTTAGGATAACATTAATTAGGATTTTCTCTATATAATTTTGTAATTTTTTCTCTTTAATTCAGACTCCATTAAGCTCATTCAATAGTGCATTGTAGGTTCTTTTTTCTGTCATTATTAATGGCAAAAGTCATGGTTTCTTTAAATGTTCGCATGGTTTAAGATAAGGTGATCCAATCTCTCCCGTCCTTTTTATTATTGCCATGGATTATTTATCTATAACCATTATCAATCTTTATGAAAAGTATTCTGATAGTAATTATAGGACTTTGGGTGGTTTTCCAGTTTCCCATTTATGTTTTGTCAATGATGTTATTATTATTTTTCCATCGATCTTTAAATTGGGTTAATAGACTCATGAAGCTCTTAAATACTTTTTGAAAATTATAGTGGTATTTTTGTTAATAAAAGTAAGAGCTTCTTTATTATGTCAACCAAAGTGTCTTATGATCGCATGCTTTCTATTAAAAATACTACTAATTTTTTGCAAGGCTCTTTACCTATTAAGTATTTAGGGGTTCCCGTTTATAAAGGTAGGATGAAAACTTTTTTTTTTTACGATATTCTTTCTTTTGTGCATAAAAAGCTTAATTCATGGGATTCCAACTTTTGAAGTTATGGTGGTAGATTAATCCTTATCAAAAGTGTGTTGTGCTCTTTACCTGTTTATATACTTTAAACTTTACAACCTACTCGTGTTGTTTGTAATAGGATTGAGAGATTATTTAGAAAGTTTTTCTAGAAAGGGTCAAACTACAAAAAGAAATTATTTAGTCTTCCTGGACTAATTGTTGTGTGGCTCTTGAGAAAGGGGCTTTCGGTTATAAAGATATGTATAACTTATCCTATGTATTTTCTATTAAGCTTTGGTTCAATTTTTGTACTAAACATAGTCTTAGGGAAAAGTTTAAGACTATTAAGTATTATGTTGGTATGCATCGTACAAGCATCATATTATGTGTTGTTATAATAATGGTGATTCTAGAGTTTGGAAGAGGCTTTTTTGTATGAAGTGGATTATTGACCCTCATGTTCATTGGTGTCTTGGTAGTGCTAACCTCTTTTTTTTGCAAGATCAGTGGCTTAATAGTCACTCCATCGACTCTCTTATTAATACTTATTCCACTATTGTTGTTCAAGTTAAGTTTTTATCACTAACGATACTTAGGATTATAATAAACTTCATGACATTCTTCTTGAGCCTGTTATTTTTAAAATTTTACATCTTCCCATTAAGATTGATTCTTATGACTTATTACTTTGTGATCTTTCTCAAAATGGTATGTTTAAATTAAAGGATGCTTGGCATGCTTTTAGAGATAAGAATTTTGTCAAGAAGGGTTTTTCTATGATTTGGTATAAAAGTATTCCTAAGACTATTTCTATTTTTATCTGAAGAATCATGCATAAATATATTCCTACTGATAAGAATTTTAAGAAAAAGAGGGTTTATTTTAGCATCCAAATGCCAATGTTGTTATCATGTGAAGAATATGCATCTTGTGTTTATTTCTGGCCCTACTGTTGTTAGAACTTGGACTTTTTTTTTATGATATTTTTAGAATGAATCAATTCAGTGCTAAAATATCCATTAATGCTTTCTTGGATTATCGGTTCATTAATTCTAAAGGGAATATTAGAATTATTTTTCCTTCTCTTATTATGTGGTATCTTTGGCTTGCTAGAAATGACTCCGTATTTAACAATAGTCGTATGGATTATCATCATATTATTCTTAACATAAAAAACAAAGTGTTTAAACTTTTTTCTTCCAATCTATTGACCTATAAAAATTTTTAGGAATTGTTATTTTATGGCTCAAAATTTTGGCATATCCTTGCAGATTAATAATTTTTTGGATGATCCTAAATTAGTATATTGGCTTAAACCTTCTCTTTATACTAATAAACTTAATGTTGATGGGTCCATTTAAAATTGGAATTTTTGGGTATGGTGGTATTATCGGATATTACCATGGGAATATTTTAATGGCTTTTGCTGGCCCCTTGCAAATGTTTGAATAGTTGCTATTTGAATGAGTTATATTTATGCAACTTATGTAGTTTTGATGATTCCAAACATTATTGTTCAAATGTATAGTTATCTCCTAACAATTTCAGAAGATTTGTTACTGGACTCAACAGCAAAAATGTTCTATTGTTGTAGCTGAATTATCAACTATTTTATATAGGTAGAAATTATATCTCTCTCTTTCCATCACTAATATCTAGATTGAGGTCGATGCTACATCTAGTATTCATTGCCTTTGAAGTATATGGATAGAATTTGCAATCACGATCTTTTTAATATTATTAAAAAAAATAATTGGCGTATGAATTTTGTTAACATCTCTTTCTCTCATTCATATTCATCGGGAATACAATGCTTGTAATGATTTAACTGATATCAACTAACCTCATAAACTGAAAGACATGATTAGGCAGGATAAATTGGGATTGCATTATGTTAGAATTTAGTGTTCCTGGATTTTGGGATTCAGAGTTTTTTGATCTTTTGGTTTGCTGGGCTTTTGGTGGTGTGAGTAATTTTTGGAGTTGGTGATTAGTTTTATCATCCCGGGTCTTGCTTCTAGTGCCACCTCAATTTTGGATTATCCCTTTAATCTTGGTTTTTTCATTGCTTTTTATTTTATTGGGATTGGTTGGAGCTATGATTTTGTGTTTTCGGTTTCGATTCTTATCCCTATTTACTACCCTTCATTTCCATGGATGCTTCTAATTGGATGCTTGGTTTTGTCCCTATTATTTTTTGTTGTGTTTATTGCTTATGTTGGGTGTTGGAGGGGTTTTTTGGGCCTCTGGGAGCCCACCCGGGTGTTTTTCGTGGTTGTTGGCTAGTTTTTTAATCTGGTCCCTTTTGTTATATCAGTCTCCTTCTATTGGTGGGTCAGCCTGGTTCCATTTTGGTGGGTTTATGGTTGGAATTCCTTGATTTTTGTTTGACTCTGATACTTCTAACATCTTAGGCTTATTCTGCTTGATGAGCCAAAGGTAATTTGGGTTTAGAATTGAGCAGCATTTTTG